TCCCCCACCCTCCCCCTACCACCACCACTACGCTCGCGTTCGACGCACATCCATGATAACGTTAACACGTTCAACGCTGCCGGTGTTAACAATGCACCTACCGCCCTGCGCTGGGATTTTCATGTTTTTACCGTGTATTCACTTATTGATTTACCACATTTCCTTTGCAGGAAAGCTAACCAAACTGACACATTTACTCTGCATGAGTGTTATCTCACCTTTACACGTTCAAATAGTATGGAAATCGTTCCCCTTCATAATAATATATTGATATGAAAACGGGACAAAAACGGATATTTTGTGCATTTTCGTCTCAAATGCCAATGCACCGCTGCATTTTCGCGAGTTTGTTATGATATCATTCAACAGTATACTATTTTTTTCCGGTAAGAAATGTGACAACGTTTACACATGTGTGGGGTATGAACCTTGTTTTGTCTTTCCACATGCAAAAATACTTCGAAATTTTACATACTACACAGTTATTATATTATATCTCGTTATGAAAACGATAAACAAACTTTGTTGAACGGACTTTAGCCCTGAATTTACCTTGAGTCTCAAAACTCATAGTTTCACATTCGAATCAACGGTAAAGCATTGTATTCTTTAGTTCATGTAAGACTGGGGTAATGTAGGCTGTCCCTGTTTAATTTCTAGCTGTTGGAAATCAAAGTAACAAAAACCAACAATCTATCCACGAGCTGACGCTGGGATGCGTTTTGATTGTTCCCACGAGCTGACTCGTGGATCCGCAGCGAACGTGTTAATATAGCCAAGTCATTAAAGTTACACAGCTATATCTTTATTACTGTACTACTACTACCGGTGTAGCAAAGCCTATCAACACGGTGGCGGGAGGGCGCACTTGATTTGGTTGCCAGTGAGTTTATCAGAAGAATACCCGGCTACAGTACACGTCAGTTGAGTGCTGTCGCTCTGCGGCACTTGTTATTTTTAGTATACATGTGTCACAGCCACAGGTTCACAACCTCCCAATTTTGCGCAATCCCTAGTTATATATGATATAATATATATATCAGGGCGCAAAGTTAGCACAAGCCCACCAGCATGTGCCGGCAAATTATTTGGAGGGCCAGTAGCATTGGCGAAACAACGGCCCTCCGAACCGGTGGCGGTGGTTTCAGCCGCGTTAGCGAGTACCTACATTTTTATTTATACTGCAAGTAGCCTACATTACTGTTTTACCTGAATGATATCACGCCATAATTTATCAACATTAGTACACCATTTTTCGGACAAGCAAGTGTCAGTGACAGTCTTATCTTTATTTTTGGGGTAAAAAATTGTGAGGGCTGGTAAAGTTCTGCTGTTACCAGCCCTCTGGGCTAGTGCAAAAAATCTGAATTACATGCCCTGTTTATCTATAATATCAAGAGCATATAAAGAAGGAGAGCGTACAACGGTAAAATGCTGAAACCATGTTGCAGTATTAGTCGAATTAATAAACTTTCCCCGTGTTATTTTGACAATTCTTTGCAGTATTATTGATCAGCTGTCCTACCTTGTTCATATAAAACAAACCGCATGTCCCTACGATGCCCCTACGCTGAGATAATGAGCGGTGGAAATCTGGTATTGATTTGATGTGCGGGAGCACGATGTGTATCAGCACACCGACGGCAGACACCTAGCTCTTACCCTCTCGCTCTACTCTCGCTCAACGTCAATTGTGACATCAAGTGTTGTAGAGAAATATTTGAGCTGTTTACTTAGAAATTATATAAACATTAAAACTTTGGTAGTGAATACAGTAGCTTTATTTGCTGTTATTTTTTACTGTAGTGGCCCAGTTGCTTGTGTACACTTCACATCTCAGTGTAAATTCAGGGAAGCACCCTTATGTACACATTTGCAGGTTCATTATGTGACAGATGCCAATTTAATGTGCGCACACGCGTTCGTGTGTGTGTGTCTATGTGCACGTATAGTAGCGTATTTATAGAATTATCCTCATGGTACAATAAGAAAATAGTCATACCTTTATTAGATGGATTATTTTAGTTAGTGTTACTATTACTAGGACAAACAGTAACAGAATGAGTATTCCGAGAGAGCCAGCTACCTTGTGCAGGAGGTGGCAGTCCCTGGTTATATGGTAATAATTATCTATCTAGGCTAAGAAGAATGGTGCAGACGCCATCGAATTCGACCTGTCGTTCTCTAAAGATGACGTTCCCATTGTTATCCACGATGACACGGTGGATAGGACGACAGATGGGACTGGCAACATATCAGATCTGTCTCTTGCTGAACTTCGCAGACTGAATGCTGCAGCCAAGTTTAAACAGTAAGCGATTGTACACATGATTACTTGTGTTGGTCCATGACTAGTCTTGAACCAGACATAAAATTGTCACTGCCAATTCCTCTCAGATATTATGCTATACTGACATTGCTCACTTGTTTTAATTATCAGCAAGTAGCAGCTGGTAAAACAATGCAATGCTAATTTTATCATATGAGATATTTTTACATCTATCTGTCTCTAATGCTGTCGTCAGTGTAAATTGTTCATGTCGTGAAATCATCATGTTTTGGTATAATGCCTTTCTCATATTCTTTCTCCTCCTCATCCCCTTCTTGTTCTTTTTCTTCGTTTTCTTATTCTTCTTCATCTTGTTCTTTCTCTTCTTTCCTGCCGTCTTCTGCTTCTTCTCTTTCTTCTGTATCTTCTTTCATAATCTCCTACGTCGCTGTAGTATTCTGCTATCACACAATGATTGCTCTAATTGTTATGTTCAAACAGTTGCATTGTGGGAAGGTTCTCTTGGAATAAATGGCTGACCAGCGAGGTTAACAAACATAATCTGTCGTGTACATTATTGGCCTAAGTGGTTAAATCCATAATCATCAGCAGTTATTACAGTCGCTTTCCTCCTCTTCCTAAGGTTACACTTTCTCTCTTAACTGTTCTAGTTGTTCTAATAGTTCTAACTGTTTTAGTTGTTCTAGTTGTTCTAGCTGTTCTAGTTGTTCTAGTTGATTCTTCTTTCACCTATTGTAATCGTATTTCAAGATATCGAAGGTATTCCCTTCTTTCCCTTTTCTTGCATCTATTTAAATTATTGCAAAGAGATGTCAAACTATCAGGAGTGTATGAATAGAATACTTTATTAATGTACTGAAAGTATGCTAAGACAGCAAATAATGAAAATGAAAATGACGAATGCCCATGATAGTGTTTTCCATTTATTTCAGAGCTGTCTTTCCTCATGAAACCATCCCTACTCTAGATGAAGCTCTTCAAGAATGCCTGCATCTGGGACTGAAAATGTTCATTGATGTTAAGGAGTATGACTCGCGCGTAAGTGTCGTATTTCATATATGCTACGTAATTCCCCCATTCATTTTAAGAAGTCTGATCGTCCTCTTTTAGGTCGTAGTAGGTGCATTTCAGGGTTATAAATAAACTTTTTCCCATTCATGTACTTCCGGCCAGAGAAAAAAGCAGACAACAAAATTACTCACTCAGACAGAAACTTGAGGAAAGCATGGCTGTTCCACTCCCCTATCCCAACAGTACTGTCCTAGTGCAGCTGTCCATAAGGAAGCTGGTAAGGCTTCCTAGCCTTTCTTTTTCCTGATTCGTTCCTTCTGAATAAAGTACATCATGCCTAACCCAAATTACACGTCTCAACACTTAAAAACAACTGAACTACTGGCCATCGTTTTTAACAGAAATTGTCTGTAACGTTGGTGTTTTTACTTTGGTTCATTGGGAATTTCTTGGCAGTAAGTATTTGCTGTCAATATTGAGAGCAGGCAGAAAACTGACCGTTATAGGCAGCAAAAATGCGGCTTGCTGCCCCTCTAATTGGGCACCCTGCATTTACATATTGCTTTAAAAACGTCGGTTTAATAACTTGACCAGTGTGGTTTTGAGGTTTGTGTTTACACGCTGCTTTGTGAAACACGGGTTCTACGAGGGTTGCATCTACACAGTGGAATTTTAATTATTTAGGCTCAGTTTGCTGCCAGTTTCGTTTTTGCCATATTGGCCACCTTCAGGAAACATTTCTTTTCTGTAAAACCCACCCTTGCAACTACGAAGCAAGAAATTAGAAATGGAATAGCTAAAAAACGTGTTTTGCCCCTGCTCCAATTCGTGGTAGCAAAAAAAAAACGGTTTCAAAACACAGGTTTTTGCAGCATGTAAATGCCGTGTTTTTCTCTCGTTTTGAGCTGGCCAATGTGGCTGTACAGAGAATTGTATGAAAATCAGCATGAAGTTATCTGTACAGGAACATTGTGTAATAATGTTGGCTTGAACTGCACTACATTGGGTGCGTGAATCAGTTAGTTTTTTAATCAATTCTAAATGCATTCGGTGGTTATTTTACACGCAGTTTGGGTTGTAAGAACAACTAGCTCTAGTACTATAGCCCGCGTTTATTAACTGCCGCAGGGCTATAGAACATTGTCAGCTCGATTTCGCTACTGCAACCTGTCACCACCTGTCCCCACGAAAAATTGATCGCAAAACGCAAAATGATCGGGCTTTTTAACACTTATTTATCTACATGGACATCTCACCTATCTTTTTGAACACTTTCCACAACAGCTATGATGCAGTTACATTTCGGGTGACGTCACGCATGCACACACAGCATTTCAAACGGAATTTGGAAGTAGTGCTGGCACTTTTAGGAATAAATGGATAAATACATGGTGTAACGTTGTGGGAAGTGTTCAAAAAGATAGGTGAGATGTCCATGTAGATAAATAAGTGTTAAAAAGCCCGATCATTTTGCGTTTTGCGATCAATTTTTCGTGGGGACAGGTGGTGACAGGTTGCAGTAGCGAAATCGAGCTGACAATGTTCTATAGCCCTGCGGCAGTTAATGAACGCGGGCTATAGTACTAGAGCTAAAGAACAACAAGTTATGTACTGGAAGGGTGATGAAGGTCTGTAAAGGAAAACAACGAAAATATCAAGTACATGAGCTAGCCTATAGAAATGTGAAAATAATAGCACCCACCTAGAGGATCTTGTTGTTATTTGTTAACACTTCTAGTTATATATTACTTCTAGTGTTGTGTTGATATCTGCATGGCAGCGATCCTGTGTGTGCGTGCGTGCGTGCGTGCGTGTGTGTACGTGTGCGTATGCGTGCCTGGGTTCGTGCATGCGTGCGTACGTGCGTGAGTGTGTATGTTGTGCGTATGCGTGTCTGGTTTCGTGCGTGCGTGTGTGTACGTGTGTGTGTGCGTGCGTGCGTGCGTGCGTGTGCGTAACCAGTGATTGTTAGCGTTATAAGCCACGACACAAAAGTAGGTGACAAAGCCAGTTGAAGTGAACTTTGATGTATAGTCAAATAGTAGCCGGAGAGCTAGTTTATAAAATAAAAATAAAAATTGTAGGATTCCGAAAATATTGTGAGAGGAAGATGTGCACGCTGAAGTAGCCAGTGAAAAGCTATTTGCGCACGCAGCAGTGTGTTAACTTTATTGGCCAATAGATGGCGACACTGACTGAAAATCACCGTGATGCTAAACCTTGCGTGACATTTCGTGACTTGGTTAAGTGTTATCTTTATACGCCGTTGTGTTTGTAGTGTTATTAGCGTGTTTACCGAATTTGCTTTACACATCTCTCATGTGGGCGTAGTTGCACAAGCCCACAAGCAGCTATAATTGCTGTTTTGCTCCGGCGAAAGCTCACCTGGAAATGTTTAAGCGAGGAACAATATTTGAAAACTATTTCCCTAAACTAATAATAAACATAAACAAACATGAAAAAATACTGAAAATAAACTCAATTATAGTTATGCGCTGGGGCATAGTGAGCAAGAGTAGGAGAGTGAGCGTGTGAGGAGAGATCAAGAGAGAGAAAGGAAAGAGAGAGAGGGAGAGAGAGAAAGGAAAGAGAGAGAGAGGAAATGTGGGGTGAGGAAGGGTATGAAACGAAAGGATAGGAAAGTAAGGGAAAAGTAAAGAAACGATGCGAGGGGAGGGAGGGGAGAAGAGATGAAATGCGAAAGGAAAGGGGGTGGGAGAATAAGAGAGAGGACGAGAGAGATGGAAATGATAGCAAGAGAGTAAGAGAGGAGAGATAGACAAATAGAGAGAGAGAGAGAGAGAGAGAGAGAGAGAGAGAGAGAGAGAGAGAGAGAGAGAGAGAGACAGAAAAACCCAGAGAGGTGTAGATGAGAAGAAATGATAGCAAGAGAGTAAGAGAGGAGAGATAGAGAAATAGAGAGAGAGAGAGAGAGAGAGAGAGAGAGAGAGAGAGAGAGAGAGAGAGAGAGGCAGAGACAGAAAAACCCAGAGAGGTGTAGATGAGACCACAGACTGGCATCATGCGAGAGTGTTCACTAGTCAATTTGCGTCGTGCTTGCAGCAGCAGAACCAGCAACAGCAGCAGCAATAGCACCAGCAATAGCAGTAGCAACAGTAGCAGCAATAGTAACAGCAGCAGCGGTAGCAGTAGCAACAGGAGCAGTAGCAGCATCAGTAGTAGCAATAATATCAGCAGCAGTAGTAGTAACAGCAGCAGCAGTAGCTGCAGCAGCAACAGCAGCAGCAGCAGCAGTAGCGGCAGCAGCAGCAGTAGTAGTAATATCAGCAGCGGCGGCAACAGCAGCAGCAGCAGTAGCAGCAGCGACAACATCAGCAGCAGCAGCAGCAGCAGCAGCACCAGTAGTAGCAGCAGTAGCGTGGTATACGGTGATTTATGTGCGGGCGCGATGTTGTTTACGCTAGCGGGAGCCACCGCGCGCCATCGTCCCCAGGCCGGGCACCGGGCCTATTTACATTCCAGCGCGCGATTTTTCCACCGCTCATAATTGCTCGCTTTATTCGTGCTCGTCTAATTGTTGACGCATTCGCCATCAAATACGGCGCGATGTTTTTTAAACACCGTACAGCGCTCTGGCCCACTTTGCCCTTCCTCCACGACTACTGCGTGTCTGCAGTCCCGCCCGTGACGCATGACGACCCCGTGTGTGGTGAACTGTCATTCGGCAGTATTTCTCTGGCGAGTTCCGTCTTTCTCTTCTTTCGACTCTATCATATATATATTATATATATATATATATATATATATATATATATTTGCGTGCTTGGGTTAGAGTACGTGATTAAATAACAGAGACGCACAATGAAAGAGCCATGTAGCGGAGACGTGTAGCAGAGCCAGGTAGCGGAGCCATGTAGCGGAGCCGTGTAGTGGAGATTTGTAGCGAAACCATGTAGCAGAGATGTGTAGCAGAGCCGTATAGCAGAGATGTGTAGCGGAGCCATGTAGCGGAGATGTGTAGCAGAGCCATGTAGCGGAGATGTGTAGTGGAGCCGTATAGCAGAGATGTGTAGTGGAGCCATGTAGCGGAGATGTTTAGCGGAGCCATGTAGCGGAGATGTGTAGCAAAGCCATGTAGCGGAGATGTGTAGCAAAGCCATGTAGCGGAGATGTGTAGAGAAGCCGGGATGGGTTGTGGCTTCATTGCCACGTCAAGTCTCGAAGCAATCCACTAGCGAGGAGCTCGTGCGAATTAGCACCGACACCTGCTTGTTTTCATTGTCGTCGGCGCTTGTTGTGTTTGGCTGATTGCGTTAGGTGCCCGACAGGCCGGCAGCCGTGGGAATGCACGGCGTGTTAGCGCCTATTTTCAGAAAAAACCTGGCGGCCGCAAACGAGCTTTAACTTCTTCCCCTACGACGACGGTGGCGACCTCGTGTGGCCACACGTGCAGCCTCCTGTTGCTTCCCCCCCCCACACACACAATGACATCGTGTTGTCAAGCGTGCTGCCTCTTGCTGCATTCTCCATCCACCCGTGACGCCCGTGGCAACATCGTATGGCTACGAGCACAGCATTTTGTTGTATCCACATTTTGTGGATAGCCTCTTGTTGCTTCCCCCCTCCACAGACGATGACGGTGATGATGCCGTGTGGCTACACGCGCGGCGTCTTGTCTCGTGTGGCTCGCTATCGGTGTACTCGGCGATGCACTATACAAACACGCTGGCGGCACACGCAGTGCTAACACATTGACATTTACATTGTGAAGATACTCTCTACTGAAGCCCTTCTTAGGTCACGTGGAGCTGTCACTCATTGCTGCCACTCTGTGAAGCCCTATAGTGTTGACGTCGACGTCGTGGTCATGCTAAAACTCGAGACCCGCTAACGTGGATTTGCATGAGAATTTTTGAGCGATGAAGGTCTATAAAGAGAGTTGGTAGCTCGTCGTCAGCGATGGCCACATAGCTTCTTATGCACAATTTTCGGTTCACTGTAATGATAAAACAGTGAGATTCGGTAAAACATTGTGAAATATTGTGAGGCACAGTGAGACATATTAA